ACTCACTGTTCCGTCCACCCTTCAGATACATATACATAAATGAGAAGGAAATATGAAATAAAACACATTTTACCATATTTACACTTACGTTTCTTATTGAGGGTTGTAATTTGTTATTTTAATAAAAAATCAAGAATAAAAGTACAAAAGAAAGCCAACACTATAGAAGAGCTGACAATGAGAAATATGTTCATTCCCAATGCAATCAAAATTTGGTGGAAAGAAACACTATTAATATCCTTAAAATATTTTTCTTAAGATGTAATCAAATTAATTCACATCAAGTAACATTTTATTCTAAGGATATTTTTTAACCCCAGCAACATCACAATAAGCATTCACAGCATTGCATACAAGTTGTAAAGGATTGGTAGAAGAAATTCATTAGTTTTTAACACAGGAATCTGGAAATCCATTGCTAGAACTCTCTATAGTTTTAATAATTTACTTCACTACGAAACAACACTAGTTTCTGTTGCAATGGACGTTTTCTTTTGTGAATACGAGAATACAGTAAATTTGTTACAAATATAATATTTATTTATTTTATTATTATACAAGTGGTTTCCTTTTTTATGTACTAAAAGAGTGGACATGTCTGTACCAAATATTGTAATGGGCGTCTGGGCTCAATGCTTTCATTTCAATGAGATTTTTTCTCCAGTTTTCCTTGATCCATTACCCAAATGCTGAAATGGTTCTTACTTTGCTTTGATCTTAAATTTAGCCTATCTGCGCCAGATTTCTTGAGCACTCATAAAGCTAGTTATTTTGCCAGTTATATTGTCACGAGTGAAATAAAATTTGTAGCTTGTTTGCCAATTCACAATTTGTTTAATGTTTAAATGACTTGTTCTTAAATGCTGCCTCCCACGGTCCTTGGTAACTTAATTTTCAAATTAACTATCCATATTACAGCACGGGGTAGGTTTTCTGAAACTCGAGAAAACGGGCGCAGATTATTCCCCCTCCCGTAATTAACAGACACATTTTACTATTGTTGAAGATAAACTAAAGTACTCATCTTTACAATAATCTATTTAACACTTACAAATTGTACAGTTGTACATTAACAAGTACTTTATAATTTTCAAGACAAGCAATATTATTAAGAGAATTGATAACAAAATTATCATGTAATTTTGGTTTTACTTTCCAAAATTAAAAAAAACAACTGTTAAACAGATTTCAGAATATACTTTTTAAACTACTTAGAATACATAATTTAGTCACGAATAAAAAACCTCCAGGAATTGCATTAACATTCACTCCTTGCATTATTTTACTTTGAATTATAATATTGGAGAAAACGAACCTTCAGTTGCAATCTCATTTTCTTAAGAAAAGAGAAAGCAACTTTGAAGTTTCTGATGTAGCGTAGTTCTTGAGACAGAAAGACATTGAATGAAGACGAGTCCATTGGAGTAAAATTAACTTTATCTTTCGCAGGAATTACCTCATCAACTGCGTCACTATTTTAAAACGCTCAGAAGAACAAAAAGCCATTCTTAACGGCCAGGATTCGTTAAGGATTTTAAAAGTCGTCGCCCGTTAGAAACAATCGAAATAACTGTGTTGAGGTTCCAACATTACCTTCTTTGCTATTTACCGCCCTAGTGACGTCAATAACTATTACCGCAATGCGAGAAGCAAATAAGGAGAATGCTTTAGTACGAGGATTTCTTTTAACCCTCTCTATAAGTTACTGATAGTGGGCATACGATGATATTTATATATTTACCTCCTTTTATTTATAGAATCAGTTTTACAAGATTTAACCTTCCAGTCTGTGTCATTCTGTAGCACCACTAGTTTATTGATTGTTTTCTATTACTAGTCGTCTCATTTTTGTTTCTCTTAGCTGAAGGGCTGAAACACATTCAACAGAAGTGGAAATCACGCGTCTTGAGATACTAGAAACGGAAGGGCGGCAGGAAAGTACTTATCAAGAAGAAGTAATTAAAATGAAGGTGATATAGACGGCTCAGTCACTGAAGTGGAAAAAGGATTGTAGAAGAAAAGGTATATGACCACTGCTCATAAGGTTCAGAAAAGGAAAATGATGAAATGTTGATTCATGTAATTAATTCAAGTAGATATCATTTATTATTTTTTATTGGAAAAGACGGTGTAACTATTTGGTACTCTAAACCTGTGCAATGGAATTTTACATATCTGGTGTTCTAAAGTTTCTGCTACAAACATTGTAATTTATTTTTCCTGGACCGCAACGAGTTTGCACGATTATTGCTAAACCAGTTTGTGCTTTTTTTAAATCTATCAAGTCATCATTGATATTATAAGTGACTGTACCAATACTTTTATTGCAACTAAAAGAAAGTGCAATAATCTCGGGATAAGGGATGTAAAGGCACATTCCCGGAGGAATCGGATAATTTTATTGCTACAAAAAGAAAGTACAATACTCTCGACATAAGGGCTATAAAGACACTTCCCCAGAGGAACCGCATTAAAACGCCGAAATCGAGCAAACTACAAATAGTTTTGGAATGCCGATAAAACATGATAATTACAAGGGCAACATTTAGTTACAAAGCTTTCTATTTATGCTTCGCTCGATCAGGTTTGACTCTCAACCAGAGTCCAAAGAGAAGGTTCAAGTTATCACATACACGAAACGTATACATTTTCGTCCATAACTGCAAGAATTCTTAGTCTCGGTGAATTCATAAATATTGATTAGGTGTTCTCATTTAGAGGTCCATGCAGTTTCGTCTAGAACAAGATTTTCCAAACTTTCCAGAGTTTGGGCTATTTTGATTACTCCAGTTAGTTCAGAGTACCTAAACGGTTTTAATTCTACTGCCATTATCTATAATATCTAAGAGTACAACCGTGCACTTGACATCTGGTGGTCGAAAGCGGAAATAGGTAGTGGTAGAATCTTCTATAGCTAACTGATGGCGCTAGTACTACTTTCGAAAGCGCAATAACAATTAAACATTCGGGAAAAATTTCGTTGGTTCGAGAAGTCCGCCTAGGGAAGTCGAAGTTAAACACACTGTTATAAAATGAAGTAGTGCTTAATCCCTTTTAATAGTGTGTTTTGGATGTAATTTGTTAACTTATTTGTAATATATTAGAATGGAGAAGCGATAAATAATGAATGCAGAACATTCAAAGATCAATAGAGTTATCGTGATCGAGTCCAGTAATAAGGCGCTGTTACATTTACAGTTAAACCGTAACAATTCTTAAAGAATACAACATTAAACATCATTATAAAAAGAAACATTTTCAAAATTACTCAAAAATTAGGAAGTTTGCGGACAAAAAAATTTGAAACTTTGAACGCGGATTGAAATCGCAGCAAGCTTTCTTAACAAAAACAATACCGAAGAGGCGGCAACTCGTTCCAGCTTTCGTTTGGCTCTTGAAATTGCAAAACGAAAACCAGTCACCAATGGAGAAATTATTAAAGAATATGTCATTGCAGAAGCCGACGAATCGTTCCCTGAAATGGTAGTTATTTAAAGCTCACAGGTTGTCAGCAAACACAGTGACTCGGAGGGTACAAAACATTGCAGAAAATGTCCATTTTTGTCAGACAGTTGAGATGATACATCTTGAGTGGTTTTCTGTGGCCTTGGATGAGTCAACTGACATGTTTAGACACTGCTCAGGCGTTTGTTTTCATTCGAGTAGATAACAGCTATGAAGTGAACAAAGAACGTGGTGATATTGATAAAGTACGACTATTTTATCAGTGCGTGGCGATCTTGGAAAGTTCTTCTCCAGGCCAGAGTTCTACTAATACCCAAACCTGAGCTCAAAAGTTATAGACTCATGTACCTACTGGATACTCTCGGCAAACTGTACGAGCACGTGATATTAGGGAGGCTAAAAGAAGAAATTAATAGAACAGGAAACCTGACCGACAGGCAGTATGGCTTCAGACAACAAAAATCGACGTACAGAGTTACCTATAATGTCCTAAGTACAGCGAGGAAGGCTAACGACAAAGTGCATTAATACTCCTGGATGTAAAAAACGCATTCAACGGTGCGTCATGGTCTGTATAATGAGAGTGTTGGAGGAAAGAGGTATAGCACATTACCTTCTTAATATCATCGGTGCATACTTGGGCAAGGAACTTGAAATGACAGCAGGAGTCCCACAGGGTTCAGTTCTGGGTCCAACTCTGCGGAACATACTATTTGACGGAGTCCAACAAACAACTCCCGAAGGGACGACACTCATCGCGTTCGCAGATGATCTAGCAACGTAGTCACCGAAAAGACGACAGAAGAACTCACGTTCAATGGAAATGCAACCCTGCGAATAGTGAATGTATGGATGAGACATAACTCGCTAACCCTGGCACACCACAAAACGGAGGCCGTTCTTTTGCCAGAAAAACGAAGACCCAAACCTGCTCTTTTCAAGATTCAAGACACTGTAGTGAAAACAATGAAAGCAGTCAATTATCTAAGGGTGGTAACAGACGAGAGACTCACCTTTGGACACCACATCAATATGGTAACTGAAAAGACAGGAAGGACAACTGGCGCACTCAGCAGACTGATACCAAATATAGGAGACCCCAGCCAAGGAAAGAGAACAATACTGAGCTCTGTAATGCACAATATACTACTCTATGCTGCACCTATATGGGCAGAAGCAGCACAAAGTAAATATAATAAGACAAAACTCGTCAGGACCCAAAGGAAAATGGTGCTGCGAAATGTATGTGCATACAGAACAGTTTCCGCAGAAGCTGCATTGGTTCTAGCAGGACTTATGCCAATATACATTCTAGCCCAGGAAAGAAAGGCATTACCTGAAGAAAGACAGAAAGACCTGAAGAATAACAGTAAGCACAGTACGCAACGCCATGGCTGAAAAAAGGACCACAGCAAAGAACACCGCGGGAGCAGATATGGCTTCTGATGCAAAACATCGAAAACTGTAAGTAACATGCAAAGCATCAGCAAACACCGCAGTGAACACATACACATTGTTAACAAAAAATTTTATATTTGACAGAGACACTCCTAATTATTTTATAAACACACAAGACCTGCTCGACGACGAAGATATCATCGTTCCGGATTCGGACGAAAACGTTTTTGAAAAAGAAGAAAACGCAAATCGACAGGCACTCGTTATATTGCTAATGAAAAAATGAGTGATATGGTTTTGCCATTCAATTCCCCAACAACCGTAGACGAAACCCGAAAACAGCACTTTAATAAACTGGATGCTCAAGCTATTAGACTCGTCCCAGGAAACCAAAATTGCATTGTATTGATTTACAAAAAATTAAAGTCACAAGAGTAAGTATATAAATCAAAGAAAAATGTCATATAAAATTAATATTTTTTAATTATAATATTATAATTAATAATTTTTATTGTAGCCCATGGACCGAAATTGAGAGAAAAGCTGAGTCGGAACACAACCGACTTAAATTCGAAAACATTCTGAAAGGAGTGTTCTTCGAAATAACGGATATAACATTAATTGACACTGGCAAATACGATAAAACATCGTATGTAGCTACGCTGAACAACACGTTTGGCGTCTTCTTACCAACGAGGTGCTTCTCTCTTAAAATTAAAAAAATTAATTATAAAAAAGAAAAAATGTGTACTTTTTTTTCTTTTCCAGATTTACTGCTGAAATTCAACAAATAGGAAGAGAAAATTTTCTTAAAGAAAGCCGCATTTATCGAACGTTGGTGTGAATGACACCCAACAATGCAAACGCTGTCCTAATATATAAGTTAAAGGACTTATTTAAACCAAAAGTATGAGCCAACATAAGAGGATATTTCATACAATACAAAATAATTAACTCATAAAATGTAATGTTTAGTCCATAAAATCTATGTATGTGTGTATAATGTCCTAAATGGGGCAAGCGAATCTCTTGCATTTCACGCACGCTTAACTCTCGCGTCCAAGGTCTGTTGCGGTTGATACAGCGCGCTGCTGCGCACTCCAATTACAGACCGGATGTTGCGGTTGATATCCCTCGCACTATAATTTTTTGCCCTTCGAAAGAAACGCACTCAGTTACGAAACTTTGCAATCGTAAGACGAACCATGCAGCGTGAGAGCATTATGCATTATATGCGATTCGCCGACATTCGCGAAGCGAGGTTCTTTCCTAGCGATGTATTCCAGCGCAGCATAATACATTATGCTGCAGCTCATAATGACGTGGAAGGTATAATATTTTGTTTAAACCGCGGCGAACACCGCAACCTACGGGACAACTATAATATTGTTATATTATGTTGCATTATGCGCCAAAATTGGACGAAAACTATTACAGACCTAACTACGCACCCCAGCAAAATTAATAAAATCTCTTAAAGAAACTACGCATAACATTTCGCCACTACTACGACCCGACGGCACCAAAACCTACGATCCACAGACGATGACAGAACTTTTTGCAGACAAACTTCAAGCAAGATTAACCGCACCCCTCCCCTCATCCACCATCTCATATTTAATGAAAACGCCTCATCTCCCACGACATCAACAAACACCTTGGACTATAACACGGACGGACGTAACGAACGAACTGAAAAACCTCGACGGCGGCAAAGCGAACGGCCCCGACGGAGTAAAAGCCAACGCCCTAAAAAACCAGACCAAAAATGTGACCGACTTAATCACAAAGTATTCAACGCCTGTATCAATACCTCCTACTTCTCCAACTCCTGGAAAATTGCCAAAATCAGAATGATCCCCAAACCCAGCAAGTCCCTCCAAAATCCTGACAATTACAGACCGATCAGCCTCCTCCCTATTTTAGGCAAAATATTTGAACGCATCTTCCTGCAAAAACTATCCCTTATACTAGAAGAACGACTCGGACCGACACAATTCGGCTTTCGAGCAGACAGATCGACTGGACTACAAACGCTATGCCTAACTTCCGACATTGCGACGCGACTACAGGAAGGAAAACGACATCCGGTACAAGCTATTTTTCTTGATTTCACAACTGCCTTTGACACTGTTAACCACAATACGTTAATTTACAAAATCACCCCACATATCCCCCGCTTCCTCCCACTCATCACCAACTACCTGACTGACCTCTCCTTTTATGTCAACCACCTCAACTCCTCTTCCTCCCTCAGACCCATCCTCACCGGCGTGTCGCAAGGAATTGTCCTCTCCCCTATCCTCTTCTCCCTCTACACCAACGACCTGCCTACCTCATCACGGAACATCGACTACATATACCCTGGCGACACAGCACTGACAGTGACAAAACGCAGACTACCTCACTTGGCCCAAATTCTACAAAATGACTTAGACGACATAACTACCTGGGCAAAAGACAACCTGAGACTAAACCCCCGCAAAAGTGCATCAATATTCATCAATAGAGGATACCCTGGCAAGGCGCATCCAACACCACCCCCGCTCACTATAGACAACACTACAATTGACTGGATAAACGAAACATTATACCTAGGCATCACTCTTGACCGCAAACTTTCATGGAATAGACATGTTGACACATCTGACGAACTATCGTGTGATGTCATCAGTGTCGCTGGAATTCAAACTTCAAACATCGATGACTAAAATGGATTTGCTGGAAAGACGATTGATGGGTGCAGATGTGGCACCCATCGATTTAACTGGTCTGATGGATGATGATGAAGATGATGCATATAGATTAGCGTTGGTGACATCGCAGTTCGCCATCGGAGGAGCTGAATCAACACCATCGCCAGGAACGACAATTTGTATTAGTGAAGCCACGGCGCCGCGACTGGTCGCGGATCCAGCATGTCCCGTGTTTATATACTCTCCAACCAAAGAGACGTAAGAAGAATGAATTATTTTTTGAGTTATGATTTTAAAAAAAGAAATTTTTTATTGAATTTTTGTTTTTGTTTTAGGGACATTTTGGAGTGCTATAGTACAACGAGCAGAATCCTCACAAATATCAAAACATTGGGAGGACATTCCGAAGGGGATCGCTTATGAAATTACTAGTGCAAAAAAAATTACTTCAGAAAGATTTAACACCGAAAATTACGCTGTCGTTTTAAACGACAAGTATAGTACATTTTTACCAATAAGATATATTAGTATTATAAATATATTAATAATTTATTTTGATTTATAGATTTACTACGTTTATCGACGAAAACATTCAACCATCCTACATTCATAGTCATTCATTACTTTGAATTTCGTTTGTTTCTTCAGATCGGCAACAACAACAACCACAACAACGTGTGTCATGCATTGCAAATGCTCTCAGGTGGACGGATGTAGTATAGTCTTTAAAAAGTCGAGTGCACCGTGGTATTATCGCGAATTCGCAAAATATTCTCAATCCCATCACATTTCTTAATCGTTGTCAAGTTCCGTTCCAATTTAAGTTGTTTGAACTGTTTTCCCCATCACATACTTGTTTCAAAATTTTTGCACAATTAGTGACGATTCATGATTGAACGAGAACACCCCGTGACGCATGAAATGAACGGCGATAACAACCGATTCTTTCTAAATCTCGCGCAGCCGTGGTGACTGAAAGCGATAATATCGGTGAATTTTATTTCCATCATATCGTTGATCCTATAAATTCAAAATTGGACGAATTTCAGGGGCGCGATAGTGGAAAAAGCGCTCTATGAAATCGTCGCTCTTCACATTCACGTACATCTTTTCGACCCATTTCACATTCTGGATCTTGTATATTCGCTCCCTGATAGTATTGCTCGTCGTAAAGCGGTGCTTATATCGCAATCGTGATGATAAATGTTTCCTTGTGGGCCATCGCATGTGCCCTCTCCACAGACGACAGTCCACGGAATAGTTGTTCTTTACGAGGTACTACCCGGCACTACGTAAGACCAAACTCGGCAGCTAACCAGTACCGATGACGTGGCCCAATCAGGCGCGAGAACTGGTGGCGCGACCCAATCACACGCGAGCGCGCGAACTTCGCCTTTCACCATGATGCAGGTCCCAGAGCCGCGGAGCGTCAGTCAACGCAGTGCTGCCAACAAGGACAACTTCGCCCCCGCCAGCAACGCCACGATGATGCCGCACAGTTGCAGGCAAACGTATGGACAAGTCTCCGTTGGAGCACGGCCTTCAAACCCGGAAATAACTGAGTGAAACCGGCCGTGAAAGCCTGCATTGTATGTTAGAGAAAGAACAGTTATCAATAATGTCCGTCGGTCTGCGGAGCCACCGCCAGCCAGTGGTGAATAATCCGGTATTTAACTGAAGTCGAACTATCTCCCGTAGTTTACGCGGGGCTCCATTGCAGGACATTTTGGCGAGAGACTAAGAGTGGCCCGGCTCAGGACTTGTGTATTGTAGTTAAAATATGCATGAATTGTTAGAAATAGTTATTAATGTTGGTGTTAAGAAATTTGTTCATTAACTGTAAGGTTATGAGCTCGTAACGTAAGGTTAGAAGTAATCTGTGTCGCTCTCTAGTGACCTGCAACTTCCCTGCAGCTCATGGTGACAGGAATAAATTCCAATTTTGTTAGAAACGATTCAATGGACTGATTTATGACCTCCCTTCACTTCCATCCATTCGTTACAGGAACTAAACCTGGCGCCCGACATATCCCGACGGAGCGATCGGCATTACAATACTGCAAGGTGAAGGTCCATTCTTTCTGCGTTACAAATTCTTGGGAATTCCAAGGAACATCTCGAACTTGATCAAGAGTTACTTTAACGAGACGATCCTCCTATATGAAACTAGGACTGGAGCAAAATCTTTTACGGTCACAGGCGGTGTCCCATAAGGCACGGTACTTGGTCCGATGTTGTGGAACATTATGTACGACGCCGTGTTGAAGCTCGAGTTGCCGGAAGACGAAAGAATTATTGGATTTGCTGACTATGTTACAATTGTAGTAGTCGGCAAATACACCGAAGAAGTCACGCAGGTCGCCAATGAGGCTGGGGCAAATCCGGCGGTGGTTTACGTCGGTACGACTACAGATACGCAAAGTCTCCGAGAAAGCGTCTCGTATGGCATCGGCATTGACACGCATAATGCCTAATGTAGGGTGTCCTAGGCAAAGAAGCGGGAAGCTGCTGACAAGCGTAGTAAATTTTATTCTTCTCTGCGCAGTCCCCATTTGGGCAGATGCCATGGACATTCAGTCATACGCCCGTGGGCCTAAGTCGGTGCACAGAAGGTCCGCGGGTTGCGGGTTGCTCGACCGTTTCGCTCTGTATCCTATGATGCGGTGTGTGTTAGGAGTTATGCCTCCTATCGACCTCATTGCGCAAAAGAGAGCTAGACTACTTGCGCAAGCGGGAGGGGGCTTCAAACTGGAATACCATCACGAAAGAAGAGAGGGGGTGACAATGGACCAATGGCAACGACAATGGAAGCAATACAACTGGGCGATGGACATTTCGGGTCATTCCAGACATCACGACATGGATCCAAACGTAACATGGAGAATTAGATTTTTATCTACCGGAGTTGCTGACAGGGCATGGATGTTACCGAGAGTATCAGCTCCGATGCGGCTTGGACGATTGATCCTCTTGCCCAATGTTTCCCGGTGATTGAGGATGCAGAACATGTGTTCTTTCATTGTCCACGCTTCGCAGTGGAAAGTGAGGAACTTCACAGACTCCTCCAAGAGGTATTGACCCCTGAGATCATCGTCACTAGAATGATGACACAAGAGTATTCGAGTGCGGTAGCCACCTACGCCGCAAA